TATTACAATAATACAGTCAGACACATTACATGGTAACATTGCTCCCTCAGCCCAGCTTGGTGGTCCATGTGGAGAGCGGGGGAAGGGAAGGAGGGCAAGGGAACAAGGGAGAGGGGAGTGACCAGGGAGTGAGCAGCAAGGAGCTCAGAGTCAGAGAGGTCCAGTCCAAGAGCTCTATATTGCTGACTCACGCCTATGTATCTTTTGGGGGCATGCCAGCCCACTAATTACAGGCAGAGACATACTTCACAGGGAGGGGTTACACTATAGGGTACCCAGTAATGAGAGGGTGGTCTAGGGGGTGGTCTCTGGGTCTCCATAGGAACCATTATCAGTAGGGTGCAAACCCCTTCTACAGGAACCAAGCTAATGGTCCCAAGCTTCAGAGAGAAGTAGTCCATTGTCTCCAATAGCAGGGAGCAGGCCCAGTGCAGTCTGGCAACTGATCGCCCTCAGGGGGGGGAATGCCTGCGCATCTGACCTCCCCCCACACTAAAACCGATTTCTGTGTAACCGCTTACCTATATAATGTAACCTTACTTGATTGGGATTTGATTAGAAAACATTTGCAAGGGCTTAAGGGAAACATTTTGCTAGATGTTGATCAGCTAAAAAGGATATTTTCTACACATTCAAAGACAGACTCGAGGCGTCCCTGGCTCTGATAGGGTTAAACAATTGCTGGATGGCATGGAGGGTTTACCCCACGCGCTTGGGTTCAAAGCATTTCACACAGCTTAAGTTCCAGTCTGATTGTTCTGTTTATCATCATAATTTTGATGCTCACAGTCTCGTGCTGCTTCTATAGAAAACTAAGAGATATGAAACGAAACCATGTTGCCTTTATGACTCTATTAAATTTTAAACATAATACAGAAGGGGGAAATGTGGGAAACTAACACTGAGGGAAATATGACTGGGACATATTCCCTGACTAGTACAGAGGGAATCTGGAAAGCTAGTGTTCCACAGCAGGAAAGCCGCCACTTTGGAAAGTCAGAGATAGAGTCCAAGCACATTTTCCTGTATTAACTATCTTTTCCCACAGATTCTCCCCTTAAATCTGTGCTGCCTTAAAGTGAGCAAATGGTTGATTCTGTCTCCTATAGAAGCAGACATTCCTATTTGCTCTATCTCTTCCTGCCGTGGCATCCAACCCCTCTCATACCTTCCCCCACATCCATCCATCCATTCATCCAATCATCTATCCATCCAACATCCATCCATCCATCTACCCATCCATCCACCCAATCATCCATCAAACCAGCCAGTAATCCATCCATCCAGGTAGTTACATAATCTGGTGTCAATTTGGAATTTGGAACTTGAGAGGATTAAGAGTGAAGGGGTTATAGCCAATGAGGCCTTCGTTTGGGCATGGCCGTCCCCTGAGGATTCTGGGAATGCCGGTATTTCCTTCTTGGAGGCAGGAGACACTCTCTCAGCTCACTCCCAGAGAGACATTTCAGCTGACAAGACACATGGAACCAAGCTAGTGTCCTGAGCTGAAGGAACCACGTGGAAACCCCTGCCAGCGCTGAGATGCTTCTACCTACACTGGATCCACAAGACTTCCCACCCACTGGCCTGTGACCTTCCTGCATTCGGCGTCATTGCATGTGCTTCGTGAGTCTGAAGAGGACTTTACAGATTGGTATTGGACATATGGGCTAATATCGGACTTATGGACTTGATCTGGACTGGGCTGGTATATTTTCTCAATATAAACTGTTCTTGTATATAAAACTCTTTTTTACACACGAGTGTCTCTATGGATTTGTTTCTCTAGTCTACCCAGACTAACACACTACCCATCCATCCTTCCACCCAACCATCCATCCATCAAACCAACCAATCATCCAGCCACTCATCTAGCGGATAAACACAGCATCTACTCCAGGCCAGGATCTGGAGCACACAGCTCAATAGAGGGTGCCCCTGGAAGGAAGCAGTGGGTGGGTGGGGGCAGCGCAGGGCACATGAGAAGGCTGGAGGAGCTCAGGATCAGACTGGGAGGTGCTAAGAAGCCCAGAGGGGTGGCTTCAGCCGAGATCCCGATCCGATCCCGTAGGCTGTTGTCCCAGCTCCCACCCGCTGGGGCCGTAACCAGGGATTTCCGGGGCCCACGCTGGTCTGGGGGGCTGGAGGGGGGGCTGGAAGAAATGTTTGCTCTCAGGGAGATCTCGGGTGGGCGGCTGCTGGGGAAACTGGAGCGATTACTAGCCTAGGGAAGGGGGGTACATGATATTCCCCTAGTGAGCTCCCCACAGCCCCAGGTGAGTTTGGTGTACTTCCTGGCTGGCCGGCAGGCCTGGGAGGTGGACAGGGTAGAAAAGGCTGGCTTGCCATCCCAGGGGGAGGGCAGAGACAGTGGAGGAGCCCCAGCGTTCTGAGCGCCATCGTGAGCGTCAAGTTTCACGCAAACACTGGGGAGAACGAGCCGGCCCCTGGGTGTGCGCGTGCACAGTGTGGCTCGTTGCCACCCCTCCCAAGGGTGCTCATCTTTGCCCAGTGCCCAGGCTGGCAGGTCAGGGGAAGAGGAGGTGGGGGGGAGGGGGGGGAAGGAGGAGAGGAGAGGGAGGGGTTCCGCTCACCGTTCTGCCTTCTCTCCGCAGCATCTAGAGGGGGAGACCCACCACACGGTCAGACCCAGACAGACTCTATCTTGGTTCGAATTCCACGTCAGCCTGTCCCTGCTGACCACCTCTGAGGCTTCCCGGGGAGAGGCCTGCTTCACAGCCAGGGAGAAACAGCCCCCCCTGGCCTGGCTAGGCCTGGCCCCACCCCCGACCATCCCCTCCTGCCACCTGGCCTCACAGGACGGCCCCAGCACCTTCCCTAACTCTGCACGCTGTGTCTTGGTTGCAGGTCTGGACACACTGGCGGTACCCTGCTTGGAGCCCTGGCTCTCCTTTCCGCCAGACGGACTTCTCTTCCTTCAAAACTCAGCTGCAGTGGAAGTGAAACCGGCTCCCCAACACCCGTGAGGAACGTGCGCCTTAAAACAGGCAAAGACAGGGACCCCCGGGAGCGCGTGCTCCATAGCAGAGAGGGCAAGAGCACAGGGCCAGGCCAGGCAGGGTGGACTGGCAAGCGCACTGACACCCTGTGGGGCCAGCAGCCAGGGCTGTGGATGGAATGACTTGCATGGGATCAACGTTCACCTACCGCACAATCCGTGTTCAAAAATTAGCTCGTTATTCAAGTAGTTCAGCAGCTACTCTGCACTTGGCTGTTACCCAGAGTCCGTAGGTTCGAAGCCCTGGGAGGAAGCTGGGCGTCTGCCCCCTGAGAGAGTACAGCCTTGGAGACCCCTAGGGGCGGGTCCTATGGGGTCACTGTGGGGCCACAGTGAGTCAGAGTCAACTCACAGCAGAGGGTTGGTTTGGGCCGGATTACAATGCTTGTAAGTCAACAATCACACACACACAAGAAATCAACTCCAGCCACACCACTCCAGAAACCCTTCCCGGGGCTCCCCAGGCCCTGGGCTCTGGGACAACGCATCGCTCCCAGGGCGACACTGTTTCTCCGCATGTCCAGGGACCCACGTCCCGGCTCGGCCCGGCCCCCAGGGCCGATTCGCCTGGAGAAGGGCAGGGCTCGGCTGTCCAGGGTCCACAGAGAACCTTGCCCTGCGGGTGCTGGCTGGGCCAGAAAGCCACTGGTGACCCCTCCACCAGCCCAGTTCAGGGGGTCGTGCCCCCGAGGGTGAGCTTAGGGCGGACACCGCCTCACCAGGCTGGGCCCAGGAAGTCTGGCAGCGCCCCAGACTGCAGCCCCATCTCAGAGCACCCTTCACAAAGGGCCGCCCCCCTGAGGCAGGCACCCTGCAGCCAGCTGGGCTGACGGAGAGGGTGTCTGCCACTTGGCCAACCTGCGGCTGGCGAGCCCTCCCGCCAGACCGCCCTGGAACCTTCTGGAAAGACGCACTCAGTGAAGGTCTGTGCTCCCTCATGATTTGGTTTGCTGAGCAAGTTCAACGCCTTCATTTCCTGCTTTGCCCTGGCAGCCAGGAAGCTCAGCTCTGCCCACGCTCGCTCCTGACTGCAGGTTCTCTGACCCCCGCCCCCCTTGTCTCTGATTCACCTGTCCTGTTGGTTGGCTCTTTTCTTTTCCGATTGGATTCCTGGTGTTGCTTTTATGCTCTGTGCTGTTCATCTGTAAGCCACAGACGCATGTCCTGTTTCTAGAAGGAGGTGGATTAAGATACTTTCAAACAAGATGCTGTGTCTGTGCAGGGACTGGGTGGAATCCTTGGGGCATGGATGGGAGACCCAACAGCACAAGGTGTAGAGCTTGGGGGTCCTGGCTCCCTGCCACCAGAGGAGCTGCTCTTGGGACGGGCCCTTGCTTTCCTCCGGGGAACGGGGTCTTGGCTCACTGTCCTTTGCAAAGAGTTGGGCTAAGGAGCCCCAGAATGCCCCTGGATTGGGCACCAGACTGCTCACCCCAAGGAGGGCAGTTCAAACCGACCAGCTGCTCCTTGGGAGAAATACAAGGCCGTCTGCTCCCGTGAAGAGCCACGGCCTGGGAAACTCCAGGCAGCAGCTCTACCCTGTCCTCCAGGTGGCCGTGAGTGGCCCGGGCGTGGCAGGGCGCAAGCGGGCCTCCCTTTGCGGGACAGGCCTGCACCTGGGCACAAGCGAGGTGCCATCGTGAGATCTGAGTTCAGCTCACGAGGAGCAAAGCCCCCTCCACAGGTCCGGAGCCTCCACCCACTTCTCTCTCTCTCTTGACTCCGACTGCTTGTTGCCAACCGGGGCTTCGTCCCTGCGGGTTCTCCAGCCCTTGCCCTGACTGGGGCCGGCGCAGGGTTTTAAACGGGGCTTTAGTCCCCGACACATTAACTCCCGTTTGCAACGTGAAGAGACCGGACAAGGCCCGCCGTCGCTCTGCATGCCGTGGGTCCTGGGGGTGGGGGGTGGCTGAGGGTCTGACTCCACTGTGCCAAACGCCCAGGTGGGGTCTGAGGCTGAGGAACGCGCCACATCCTGGGCTCACACTATGTTTTTTATTTATTTACGACTCTTGGGAACCCTCCTCATCGCAGTGTAGGCCCACAGGGGGCCCTGTGGCCGCAGGGGGAAACCCCTGACACTGTCTGCTAGGTGGCCGGTGATGACCCCTGGCTCCCAGGGGCAGGATGGGCTGTGGGTGGGGCCTGGCTCCTCCACTCCGGGCTACAGCACCACAGACCAGCAGGACATCTCGGCTCCTGGAGGCCCCTGTTGGTAGTCCAGCTTGAGCTCCCTGGGACAGACAGATCGCAGCTCTCAGGCATGGTGGCAAGAAAGCAGGACAGCAGGGTTGGGGTGCGGGGTGGTGGTGGTCTCTTGGGCTCCCCTAGAATCCCTTTCTGACGTGCTGACAGGGACTCATCACCCGGGGGACCCCACAGGTCAAAGGCTTTAAGAGTTACGGGGCTCCTGTGCTCCCAGCATGCCCCGGGGAACTCTGGGTAGTGTTTCCAGGGCGGTCACTGAGCACTGAGACGGGCATGTGAGGGGTGTCACCTGGTGGCAGGGTGGTCAGTCCCCTGGACGGTCAGTGTTCCCTTGCCGTCCTCGGCAGCTTCGGGCTTCCAGAGCACGTTCTGGTAGAATTGGCCTGGGACACAAAGGCTGCGTCAGCAAGACCCAAGCCAGAGATGGGCCAAGAGAGGCAGAGATGAGGGGGCACTGCCTGGCCGCCCCTAAGGAGGCCCCCTGACCGGACCATGGGCGGCGTACCGAGGGTCCCGCTGACGTGGCTGGAGAAGCGGTCGGTGTCCCGCAGAAGGAGCCGGAGGCCTGCCCCAGGGCCCTCCCAGGACATCAGCCCGAGGGTCACTTTGTTGGGACTGGTGAGCAGCAGGAGGCCGGTCCTATCCATGGTCATCTTGAGCCTGTGGACAAAGCCAGTGTCCTGAGCAGGAAGGTGGGGTCTGCGGAGGCTGTGAGCTATCTGTCAGAACCTGGGCAGTCTGGCTGGGCCGGACCTTGAGGGGCTCTCCGGGGGTCTCGGGAGTTCACAGGGCAGGCAGGCAGGAGCAGCTGCTCTGTCCCTGGGCCTGTTTCCTCGTGGGTCACACGGGAGGTCTGTTTACGCTGTGTTGTTTGTAAGCGGTTGTACCCCTTTGCCTTCTCAGCGGGAGTTTGCTGCTCATTGACACGGCTGCTTTTTGTGTTGTTACACGACGACATTCAAACTCCCTGCCATCAGTTGGCGCCGACTCATGGCGACCTCACAGGCCAGGGCAGAGCCGCCCCTGTGGGTCTCCGAGGCTGACTCTCCACGGGAGCATAGAGCCTCGTCTTTCTCCCACGGAGCGGCTGGCTGGTGGGTTCGAACTGCTGGCCTTGCGGTTCCCAGTTCACAGCCTATGGTGCCACCAGGCTCCCTCACTCCCAGAGCACAGTGACTTTGTGTCAAGGGCGACTTTCAGAGACGCTGACATGCTGTCACGGCCCCAGGTCCCAGCAATGGTGGAGCTGCCTGTCGAGTGCCAGGCTGCCCCTCGGGGGCTGTCCACATGGGCTTGCCCTTGGCAGACTCTGCTGTGGCCACGGGCCTGTCCAGTGGCGGGGCCTGCTTTTCTTCACGGGTGTCTCCTGAGGTTCCTGAAAGCCAAGGAAACACCAGAGGGCCTCTCCACCCATGGGTGTGAGCAGACAGTCCGAGGATGGCCACTTTTCCGACGCTCTCCTCAGATGACCCGAGGCTGCGGGAGGCTCATGGGTGAAGCGGGAGGAGTTTCCTGGTGGAGGCACTGGGCCCTCCTGACTTGGACAGGAAGGGATGCGCCACCGCCCAGAGCTGGGAGTGGCCGGCCAAGCCCCTCTCCTGAGAACCCCAGTGACTCCCGGAGCCAGAGAGCCGCCTCTGGAAGGCTGTGCCCGAGGGGCTGTCATCTGCCCGCATCAGCCCAGACCCCAGGATTTCAAGCCAGGCAGACGTGTCCGCTGAGCTTCAAACGCAGGTTCAGGAAACCAACCCCCACCCCCACCCACCCTCCTCTGTGAGGCAAGCAGGCCAGTGGGTGCTGTACCCCCTGCTCTCCGCTGGGACCTCCATCCTGCCCCCGACCCATTCCTCTTTCTCAGACGGGCAGGTGCTGGTCAAACAGAGTGCCGCTGGAGGGACCACACTGTGCCGGGTTCCATGGGAGTCATGCTTCCTGTAGTGCAGCCCCCCCTGCCCCCCAGGTCCAAGGCCTCAGGCCAGCGATGTAGTCAGAGGTCACCCAGCCAGTGTCCCGGCCTGGGCCTTACCCGGGCATCGTCGTGAACAGCGTTTTCTTCCACTGGTGGGCAGAGCTTCCTTGGTCCCGGGTCACCATGACGTGCTCAGGGGACACATGGACACACACCTTGGGGTTCTTGAAGGTCACTTCGATCCACGAGAAATGTGTCTTCTCAAACTGACCGGTCACTTCCAGCCCTGGGAGAAGCAGGCCCAGAGAAGCCCGGCTATGGCCCCCGTCCGCAGCACCAGCACTGACCCAAACAGGAAGTCTCCCCTGACCCTGTCCGCCAGGGACGGGTGTCACGCTGTCAGCCGGCCAGAGCAGGCCTTCCTCGGGGTCCCCCACCAGCATCTCCTGGTCTCCTTTTGAGTGCTGGGCCCCTCAAGTCCCCTGTGGCAACGCTTCTGGAGTCTCCCCCTCCCAAGGAGCCCTCTGAGAGGGAGGTCCTCTCAAGTCTATGAACCTTCCAGTGACCCCTGTCCTGGGCTTGGTGCCGGCCTAGATGCCAGTGGTCCTTGCCCTGCCCTGGGAGCAAACAGATTCCTGTGCCAATGGAGACTGAGTGGGCACCAAACAGGCTCGGCAGGCAGGAGGGAGCAGTGGGCTTCACTGATGCTGCAGATGTGTGTGGGGTGTCCCCACGTCTGTCCGCTCACCTCAGCTAGATCTGGGGTGGGGGGCGCTTCCCAGGGGCCTGGCAGCATGCCCCCTCCCACCATGACCCTGCCCTTGCACCCTCTGCATCCCACCAGCAACTTTTGGGGCTTCTGCAGGCCCTCAATGCTCCCCTGTATATCCTATCCCCTCCCCCTTCCCCTCCCACCTGCTTCAGAGTCTCCCACTTGCCCGCCAATGAGCCGTGTGCCCTCACTCAGCTCCCCGGACCCTCAGGCAACTCCTGCCTCTTCCGTGGCCCTCTAGGCGCTGCCCACCGGTCACTGTGCTCATGGGCACCCAGGTCTGTGCCTGCCCTGCTCCCCAGAGTGTAGGGGGTCCACTCATGGGTGGCCAGTGGCCCTGCAGTGGCCAGGCCAGGGACCTGGACCAGGAGCACCAGGGAGCAATCTGGGGGGTGGGTGTGTGAGTGAGTGTGGGTGTGGGCGTGCCAGGGGTGGCTGGGAGGACGTGCTCAGAGGGCTGGGACAGGCCAGGCAGCGGGCGTCCACCTGCCTGCTTATCTCCCTTGGGGAGCAGGGCTCACCTTGGTCAGGGTCGGACAGCAGGTGCACAGGTCCCTGGGCGTGCTTGAGGTCCACGCAGAGTGGGTGCACACTCTGCCCGGGCAGTGGCAGGATGGCGTCAGGAGCCTGCAGGGGGGCTGGGGGAGCAGGTGCCAGGGTCCTGGGGCAGTGGAGTAGGCTGGGCATCAGGGTGGGCTGGGGTGCCGGGGGGCGGGCAGCAACTTACCTGGGGTCGGGGCTTCTGCGCCTGTTTCAAGAGGAAAGGGGCTCTAAGATGAGGCAGCTCCATCCTCAGGGGAGGGGAGGAGGGAGCAAGGGACCCTCTTCAGAGCCACAGGTTCACAGCGGTGCCCAGGCTTTCCCCACCCAGGGCTGTGGGCTGGGCGGGGCGTCATCCTCAGGGCCCACATGTCCCTGTGAACTATGCGTCAAGCCGACAGAGAGGACTGAGCGCAGGGACACAGCACCCAGAGCCTTTCAGCCGCCACATCCCCCAAGCGCCTGCACACAACCCTCCACCCAGAAGGGCCTTTGCAGGGGGGCTTCTGAAACGGAGAGGGCAGAGGGTCTAGCTGGTCCGTGAGGGGGCCTCGTCATGAATGTGGCCCCAGCATATGAAACCCCCGATTCGGTTACAGGTATGGGCCCCGAAGGCCCTGCCTTGGGGACCACATACCTGGTGAAGCTGAAACGGACACGGACCGTGGGAGCCCGCTTGGCTTAATCAAAGAGCCTAGCAGGAGGAGGAAGAGGGAGAGGGAGGGGTGAACGCCCTGCTGAGCAGTCTTGCCTGGGCCCCTCCCCTCTGGACCCAGAGGTCTGCTAGCCCAGGACTTCAGTGACAAGGGAGCAGTGCAAGAGCCCCCGCCAGAGGGAATGAGGCGCTGGGGACACACCGGGCCCTGCTCTCCACCTGTCTCCACGCCTCCTGACCTCCGCTCTCCCTCCTTCAGGGACAGCTTCTGCGGTCAACCAAATGTCCACATCTGGAGGCCACCCACCCCCTGGCCCCACCCCCCGGCAGCTTTCCCTGGTCTGTGCCAAGCTTACTCAGCCCGAAGTAGTCCGGCACCCTCAGTGTGTCCATGTCTGGGGGTTCGGCGGCCAGCACAACAGCAGCACCAGGAAGCCTGGGGTCTCCGGACATGGTGGGAAGGCCGGCTTTGGGACAGGGCGACACAAAGTCACCACAGCCCGCACAGCAGGGCTCTGGGACCTTGCCTCCCCTCCCTCCACCCTTTGGGCAGACACAAGGCTGCAGCCACAGGCCCTCGTGCGCGCCTGCTCTGTGGGGTGCCGCACCCCCTCACCGAAGACTCTCCAGCCAACTTTCTTTCTTGTTCTGACAGCAGAGAGAGTCTCGGGGTAGTGGCCTCCGGCGCTCCCTGTTAGGGCACACCCGGACTTGAGCCCCGCCCCCATGCCAGGCT